TGTCTGGTATCTGTTGCCTCTGTAACCTCTTTTCTTTTTGTAGGGTTCTGCTACTTTTGTTGTTTTCCTCCCTCCCATAAACCATGTATGGTGGAAGCTGGGGCTGGTCCCAGGGGCAGAGCTGATGGACCGGTGCTGAGTGACTGGGGGAGATGCTGAACTTCTGACTGAGCACTTCTGACTGCAAAGACTGAGCACGTCTTTGCCCAGAGGTGTGACTGGGGCTTCCTTGGCTGCCTGGGGTCAACCATGTCACTACCAGCTGGAGGTGAAGAAGAAATTACCCCAGGCAGGGCTGCTTCTGACAGTGGCTGCAGGGGCAGGCAGCAAGGGCCTGGGTCAGAGAGCACAAGTGCAGCCTTGTCCTGGGGGCTGCAAAAAGCACCTGGGGTATCTTCTGTAATGGCCAGATGGTCATTCCTGCAACTCCAGAAATGAGGGTGGAACTGAGTGTAAGCAGAGATCCTACGAAACAAAAACTGGAGAAGACAGTCTGGCTCATCCCTGCTGGCTCTCTGAACTTGGTTTTGGTTCTGCCTGTTTACCTGCTCCCAGCAGGCATTTCTTCTCTTTTGTGCATGGAGCAGATACAAGAATTACCTGTGGTGTATTCATTTCCCTCTTGGCAGGTTTTTCTAGATGGGCTAGTGTGTACAGAAAGTCAGTAGTCTGCTTCAACTGCCAGCCCTGTGTTGCCTTTCAAGGGAAGGGCTTGCACAGTGCCCCAGGACCTCCTGCAGCCATCTGGCCAGGCTTTGGGGACCCTGTGCATACTTGTTACCTAGATGATTTACCCAGATGAGTATCTGGGTAAATTGTTATGAGTTTGTCCCTGTGTGCACACCTGGTTGTGCCTTTCTTTTGTTCTTCACTGCTTCTGCATGCAGAGGCTGACTCACGGCATAGCCAGCAGCTGGCAGGTGCCGAGGGCAGCCTGTTTAAATGGGTCCAATGGTTTGTGCGTGTGTCAAGGTTTTGAGGGAGGTGAGGATGGCAAGTGACCTTTTTTCTTGGCAGCTTTGTAAAATAACCAGGAGTTTTCAGAAGCACTCCCTGTATAGTTTTGCTTCTCTTTCCAATTGGAATAAAAGTACCGACTGGTGAGAGCTTGTGAAAATCTGGATTTTTAGTTGACCTACCTGCTTATCAAAGGGAAAATGGAGATGGAATTAGAAGCCTCTTAGAGTTACAGGTTTCCATTTAGCAAGTGTGTCTTGCCCAGTTTATGAACAAATACAAGCAAATACCACAAATATGTAACAAATACCATTGTTTTTTTATACTGCAGTCTGCTAAGGATCAAATTTGAGCTGCAGGAAATAGCATTAGAGTTAAAATAAGGTGTCTAGGATGTTGCCTGCTATTCTGTTTTATGCAGCAGTTTATTTCTTTTATTCTCCCTTCAAAACCACATTTTTTTTCCTTTAGGGACCTTAGAGCAGTGCTGGGCCTCAGGTGTGGTGGACCCAGAGACAAGCAATTCTCAGAAGAGGGAAAGATGTAAGGAGTAGGTTTTTGCGGTCTGGGTAATACAGTTGAAGCAGTGAAGTTGGATACTGCCGAGTGGTTGGTTGTTGGGGGTTTGGATCCTGCCTAAGGCAGCCTTGGGTGCCAAAAGAGACAGAAAGTCTCTCCCCTTTCCAAGTGGTATCGGTCCAGCTTGGAAGATGGGACCCGTGCAGTATTTGTTCTGGCATTCCCTGCTGTGGTCCAGCCTCCAGTCTTCTGGCTTAGATAGCAAATTTGCCAAGCACTTCCCAGGCTAGCAGGTAAGAAGCTGTGATTGTTGTCAAACTGTAAGAGTGCTTTAGATCAGAGCTTTTTTTAAAAAAACTTTGAAAAAGACATGCGTTAATAAAACCTGTCCTTGCAGCTAGTTATGTATGGTGAAAGTCACGTCCCTGCCATAATCTCTGATCAGCTTTGTTGCAATTTAGTGCAGCATTTCAGTGCTTGTCCCCAAGTTTGTTTGATTTAATCCTACTCTGGAGAAATGTCTGCTGAAAAGGGCTGCTGTCTGAATCAGGGCCTTGGGAAACAGCCGTGAAATAAATGATAGAGCAGGTGCTGGGCTGTACACCTCTGCTTACTGGTTGCAAACCATGGGAGGAGGAAATTTTTCTTCTCCAGGTCATGCGAGAGCCCAGTAGATAACAGGAAGATGTTAAAGCATAAATTGCTTTGAAGAAGGAATGTAAAGCAGCCCTAAAAGGCTGGTGAGTATGGCGGTGAGCGTGCAGCCTGGCAGCAGTCTCTGCCAAAGAGGTGGGTCGGGGGGCGGGCATGAGGACTTGTGCATCTCCATGCCCTGAGAGGTCACCTCACTGAGGTCTCAACTGAACACACTCGGTAGACACACCAAACATGCCCTGTGTGCAGTTGCCCGGGCTGTGGATACTCTCTAGGGTTTTCTCTTTAATTTTTGTAAATAGCAGAGACTTTCCAAGAGGCTATATTTGATGCTTTATGGGGGACATGGTGTCCTTTGTCAGATGTATGCCATATGACTGGGTTGGTGTCTGTTACTCCCTAAAGAAGGAAGATGGAGTCTGGCTCATTAGTAAAGACTGGGACAAACACATGTCACTCTCCACAAGGCAAAAGCCTGGGGCATTTGTTGTTCCCGCACCAATCTGGAGTGCTGCTTTTGTATGTCCTGCTCTTTGGCTATAGTGATCCCTAGAGACTTGCTTAGAAGCAAAATCCCATAAAAAGCAGTACTGCACAGGGCAGGTGTTCATTTTCAGAGGTCGTGACCCAATCTTGTAGGCTTTTGGGCCAGAGAGCAGCAAATGGCATTTCTGATACCCCACACCAGGTTTTTGCTGCATTTCAAAAACTCATCCAACCAGCTGCTTCTGAAAAAATGGGGAGGTGACAGGGGAAAAAATGCAGCCTCTTTGCCTTATATGTGGAAGTAGTTTTCCGGCTCAAAATGTAAGAGAGCATTTTAATCATAGCAGGAAGAAAAAGACAGGTCAAAGAATTGGGGGTGGGGGGGTGGGAGTGGGATGGACAGGATGGACGACTTTGGCCAAATCATTGGAAGCGTGGTGGTTTCTAATAGAAAATACTGGGTGACCGCATCAGTGTCAGCATCAGCTTGTGCAGAAACATGGAGGTGCATCTAATTCTGCTGGAGTGCTGGCTGCATGGTAGGAGAAATGTTAGCCCTTTCCTTTGCTTTCTTCCTGCAGGGTAGTCTTAGTGTCTCTTGATAGCTCTCACCTGAAAATTAAGCAAAGTGCCTGCAAACTGCCAGCAATGCCCTTTCCTTCACCTTTGTCTGGCTGTTTGCCTTTGGATCAGAGCTCCTTGTAGGAGTTTGGACAAGATAGGATAAATAGAAATAGACAGTGACAACTCCAGAGTTGGAAATACTTCATCATATTGCTGTGAATAGTGCAGCAAAGCCCTCTCTGCTAGCTCAGTTGAAGTAGGATGTGGGATGGTTCCTCCTGGTGGTCATATCTGTTCTGTCGCCCTGAGAAATCTACTTTTATGGTGCACTGTGACTAAAAGTTGCTGCATGTGTAGCATCAGCATGAGGCAAGTTGTACCAGTATGTTTGACCTGCTTGTGTGTGGTTCAGTTGAGACAGATTTTCACAGAGCTGAATATTAAGGCTCTTCAAATAGACCATGCAAGATTCAGAAAGGAGCCATTGGATCACAGGATGAGCGGTGAGATATGCTCGTGGGATTCTCGTTGCAAGTTCAGCTGTGGCATATGCACAAGACTAGTTTCAACTCTTCAGTTTTCCAAATTATTTTTGTTTTGGGTCAGAGTTAAGGCTATTTAAATGCTAATGTTTCTGTTGAGTGTGTCATAGCTATTATAGTATGTGATTTTCAGGCTTGTTCATACTTGATGTGCTACTTTTTGGTAATCATGTGCATCAACAGTTCTTCTACACGTTAACATATTTTGAGGCTGTGTAGGAGTTATGTGCCAGAGGGAGTAAATCTAGCTATGTATATAAGGTAAATTACAAATGTGGATTATAAGTGCGAGAATCAGGGACATTCCATACCAAAATACTTCACTTGAGTCAAGTGGCCTATTTGAAGAACTCCATTAGCTTGTAGTAATAGCAGGCATTTATCCATTGTATGCATCAGCTACTGGAGGGCTGAAATCAGACACACTTATCCAAGCAATGTACCTACTCCCTCTGAAAAGAAATCCATCCCAACTGTCTGATATCTGCCCAGGCTTAAGTCAGCCTCCAGGCCCTTTTCTTTGCAGGCTGGTATCAACAACAGAATTGTGACCTTTGGTGTCAAACCTACTGGTATCTTTCGTGTGAATTGAAAGGGTAACAATGCTAGCAGGCAGCAGTCCAAGACACTGATCTTCAAGCACGAAAGCTGCTTGTCATTCATTTTCTGTTTTGCACTTAGAAAAAAGGATGTGTTTATGTTTGGATGTGTGACTGGGGAAGCATTAGGTGTCTGTGAGGCTCAGGGGCTTTGGATAGCTAATTCTGGTGTAGTTTTACAGGTAAGCCCATATGGTGAAATCTTAGGCCCATTAAAGTCAGTGACAAAAAAATCTCACTGACTATCAGGAATTAAATTGGACTTTGAATTTCAAGGCTGTTGTCTCATAGAATCATTTGGTTGGAAAAGACCTTTAAGATCATCGAGCTCAACTCTACCTGTCCACTACTAAACCATGTATTTTGTGGCTTTTGCAGACTTAACAGCATTATTTAAAAAAAAAAACAAACCAAACCAAAAAAAAAACCCACACCAACAAACCAAACCACAAACCCCATAAACCTACTTGAGGAAATGACTGTAATCTCAAACCCTGCATTATGGTATGTTTTCCTTAGATAAGATTTCTGCTCAAGACTTTTGCATTACCATGAGCAGATATGGTACCTCCTTGGTCAGACAGCTCACTTGCTGGTATTAGTTAATTTTCCTCAGCCTATTAATGTATGTGTTGCAGGGGTCAAACAATAATCCCATCTCATTTCTCTCCCTTTGCAGGCCCTCTACAATTCAATCAAGAATGAGAAGCTGGAATGGGCAGTGTAAGTATACTGCGTAGAAATTAGGAGTTTAAAAATAGTGTCTGTGTAGTAATCTGTTTATAAGGCCTATGTCACCATCTGAGTGGGCTCCAAAGCCTGTAGAAGATAGCCAGTGTACGTAATGAGTTTGCTTTTCTGTTAATGAATGACCTGGCAATACTGCCTCATCTGTTTCTCCAGCAAGGGAAGTTGCTAATGATAGGAGCCAACTGCATTTGTAAGGAAAGAGGACGTTTCATTTAGTAGGAAACTTCAGCCTGAAAAGAGAGAAATTAAAACCTCTGTTGTTCTATGACTGCATAAATAAAACAGAAGTTGAATTCTCCCTTTATCTTTTGGTACATTGTGTCAGAACCACTGAATAGAGACACACATCTTGGATTGAGTTTCCTGCTGTTGGTTTATTGTCTTGGTTTGTCTCCTGATTAACTATGGATAACTTGACAACAACCTAATATGAAAGATGATAAATCGGACAAAGTCTGATATCCCCTGTCCTTAGCTGCTTTTGCCAGGCTAAACACTTGTTAACTACGGAAATACTACAGACAAGAAAGAGCTTCAGTTTCTGATTGTGTTAAATTGACATTTCTCTGTGCTTAGGTTTTATGTGGTCTAAGTATGCCAGCAAAGAGTAGAAGGGTCTGCTTTAGATTTTGCCACTTGCAGAACAGTGCATTTTGGTGTAAAATGAAAGAATGATGTCTTTTATCTATTTTGGCGGTACAAGATGTTTACCTCCGTGAACATCTGAAACCTCACCTTCTAGAGAACAATGTATGTCTGGGACGCATGCTCCTGCACCTTTTGTGCTGGAAGTCCTAACAACTGCCATAGGTCTTGCAGGCCCATTGGCTTCTGATCTTCCTTTAAGTTCATCATCTGCAAATTAATTTCTTGTCAGGGTGTGCATCCTCACTTGAAAGGGCTGCTGGTCCCAACTGGGATTGCAGCCCCCGTTCAGAAGTGTGTTAGATAATACCAGAGTAGTGAGGAAGCTGTGCTTCTTGGTGATTCCCCTTACTAGCACGGTGGGAGACATTTTCCCAGCCCGTGTCTTAGACCTGGAATACACTGTGTGAATCTTACATGTCACAGCACCAGAGATGTTTGCAAGACACCCTCTTACAGGTACTTTAGACCCAGAAGAATCCATTATGTGACTCTCTCAATGTCAGAATTTTCTTCTAGCTCTTGGCAAGAGACCATACCATGTCTAATAGACTTGGGCAGCCTCCAGGTGGGAACTGGCTCATGCCTGGCTCTGCTCCCATGAGCTTCAGTCAAGGTGATTTATGAGATAGCTTGCTCTTATATAGGTAGTAACTGCTTCGGCATTTATGTAGTCCAGTCCATATCCCTTGCTAATGGATTGTTTGGGGAAAAATTGCAAGCAGGCTGGGGAAGGAAGAAATCAGAATCCTCCTTAAATAAGGCTTTGGGACGTGGGTATAAAGCCACCCTCTCCCAGCAGAATGCTCAAAGTGGCCAATTGTCCATTCCAGACAGATAGCTGGGACTGATGTGACAATTACTTCCCATGCTATGAAACAAAGCTCATTCTGGGCATAGTTGTGACTTTGTCTTTAGGGCTGAGAGCGCTGGCTGGAAGAGGGAGCATGAAGATGTCTCTCCTTACTTTTACAGAGATGCATAGTTGATGTAAAGTAATCACCCCAAGGAGCCTCAGGACTTTCTGAGCTACAGGGAAGAGGCACATCACTCTCATGTTCTGCTGTCATGATCTGCAGAGAAAGGTGGATAGGAAGGGGACCTGGTCAGTTTGCTGTGATGGGACTGAGGAAGATCCTCTCTCCTTTCTAAAGAGTTTCCCTTTGCTTCCCTGATGCAGTTGGCAGGGGAAGAAGTGGAAGGTAAGGCAAAGGTGGAAGCAGGGCTGCAAACCCAGCATAAGCTTCCTCGTGATGCTGGCATGTTGAAGGAATGCCTTTCCTCCAGCCAGAATCCCTCTGAGGGTCTAAGACTCTCTCTTATGAGCTAAACAACAGTTCAAGAGCTTCTCTGGCAGTACATTGTTTGGTGGATTAATGACTGTCAATATGTCCATAGTCAGGGGAGGGTAACAGCGATACGTAAGATGGGGGAAGACTGCTATATGATCCTTATGTTACTAGTTGCAAGCTAGGTGTGTCATTGTCCTAAATAGTTTGCTGTCTGTTTCCAGTAGAATTACAGTCTGATCCAAAGCCCACAGAAGGAAAAGGCTACCACTTATTCCAATTTTGTAGTCAAGAGAAGTGGCACCTTATTCAGCAGATGTGCTCCAGAGACTTTCAATAGGAGTTTTCATTTATCCTTTAGGAACAGGGAACCACGAGTACCACTCTGGAAGAGAGAACTGTGTTACAATTTTTTTTGCAGTAGTTCCAGGTTCAAGTTCTCCAAAAGGTTAAAAGTGAATCGCGTACCGTGATCTGTAAAATAAACAGATCTGACCTCAAATTTACCCTGAACTAGTGAATGTGGGATTCTGAATGCACACTCCTACTCAGCACTGCACCCTCCAGATTTTTTGGTTACTTTTCACGATAGAACTGACAGAAAACATTCTGCCGTTTACTTGGTATGCCATGTACTTTGCTTGCCATTTCCTCTTGCCTGCCTTGTCGTTCAGTGTCCTGGGAGAAAAGGGACAAGCAGTATAGGAAAACTAACTATCAGAAATGTGACTATTCTGTCTTTTGTCCTAGTCCATATTTCCTTTGTCTGCTGCTTATAGTTCTAGTTCTCTCCTGTCTGTTGGACTGTTGTTCATTTCTTCGAACAGCAAGTGAAGCACTAAGTAGTCATCGGACCTCACTGAAGTCATTGACAGAAGTTCGTACTGACTGTGGTGAAGCCACGTGCTGTTTCATTCAGTTAGTCCAATTCATCCTGTTTTCAGTGTGCTGAGGTCACTGGAACTACCCCAGAAGTGCATGTAGCCCCAATAATTGTGTCATAATTTCTCATGCTGCTTAAATTTCCCTGAGGGACTTGATACTCCCATAAGATTTTTTTATACTTGAACGGTAAACTCTTTTTCTTCAGCCCTGACATCACCCATAAGAGGAAATGAATTCAAGATCCTGTGAACATGAGTGGTGAGATTAAGAGTTGGGTTTGTTTAGGTGTAAAAGGGAGCACTGAGGAGAGGGACCTGAGTGTATTTTTTTCAGTGTGTAAAGGCTGTCACAGAGGAGAAGTGTGTGAATTATTTTTCACACCCATTGTGGGTGGGCTTAAATTTGAAGCACGGGAAGTTTGGGTTAAACATTAAAAAAAACTTCCTAGCAATAAGCCTTCTAAATGAGGGCATAGGTTTCCCTGGAGGAGCTATGGAAGTGCTTTCACTGGAGGTTTTTGTGAACTGGTTATTCTGTCCAGAATGGGTTAGGACGAGCTGATAACAGCCTTAGAGGTGAAGAGATGGATTAGCTGACCTCTTAACATGCCTTCAGTCCCATTGTCTATAATATTATGGCCCAGGTTTTGTACATGTTTCTCATCCTTTGGCTTTTGCACTGATCGTCGTCAGCTTTAAGCTGAAGAAGAAAAATTAATTTGATTTCGGAGACACCAGAGCTAAATACGTTTTCTTTGCATGATGTCTACATGAAAAAGTGGTGGTGAATATTATTGTCCTGCGCTGTTTGTAATATTATGTCTATTTCCTGTTGAAGGTGATAGGAATAATAAAATCATCATCTTAAAATAGGCTGAATGGTGATCTAGAATTAACATATGAAATCCCAGTTTGCTGCTTACAAAATTGAAAAAACCAAATGGCTGCATTTGAGCCAGTTGTATCCTGAAAGCTTTATCTCAGTAGGACAGTGTCATTTTCAGGAGAATCACTTGTTTTTTGATGAGCTGATGATACAGTTTTCTTTCCAGAAAAGTTTAGACATGGACACAGTATATTCTTTTTTATGTTTCTGGAGTGCCCTGAAAAATCCTCTCCTTCCAGCCAAACCAAAATAGGTCTTTGAGACAGTGATGGTGGGAAAGGGCCGCTACCAAATCCTTTCTGTGTTTTCTGCAGCAAACTGTGACACTGAGACCGGGGTGGTTATGAAGATGTCCATGCTGAAGCTCACCTTTTTCTATGTCAAACCCAGAAATCTCTCCCCATTATAATTAACTCTTAATCTCCCAAGTTCTAGGATGTTTCCTATTTGCAACTTCATGATTGGTATTAGAGAGGGCTCAGGTGGTAATCACCTGGCTCTCCTTTCTTCTCTCCTCCCTTTGGAAAAAACGCCAAAACTTCTCTCCATGGGTTTCTCAAGTCAATTTCCTAATACAGATGCTATCAGTTCCATGGATTCATATAAATATGTGTTACAAATCTGAGTATTTTTTTTAAAAGCCAATTTTTAAATGGATAACCCAGCCTTTTGCCATGTCATGTAAGTTTTCTATTTGAAAAAATGCAGAGATGAAGCAGACTTTTAAAAATTAAGGGCTTGACCCTGTCTTTCCAGCTTAGTGACTTCAAGTTTTCCAAGGCAGAGCCTCAAATCAGACTGTAGAGTGTACAGAAGTGTTTTTTGTTACTGAGAGAAATGGGTGGTGGTTTTCTCCCAGCAGAAAAAGTGGGACTTTCTTGTACAGGGTCTTTTTGGGGAGAGGCAAGAATATTTTTCTTCACCAAAATGGCAACATCTGCAATTTTTGCATGTTTCAAATCTGTGTGTTTATGAATGAGGCAAACTCTTTCTGGTTGTCAGTGATCATGCATTTGATCTTCCTTCTTGCAACTGTACCCTGAAGGCTGGTGAGGAGTAGGCTCAAATTGTTACATCCTTGATAAAACCTGTCCAGGACCTACCTATTCAGCCAGCTTCGAGGGCACCTAAGCAAAGGCTAATACCTGAACTGCTTTGCTACTTTGAAACTCCTCCCAGTCATCCTGCTTTTTTCTTGTGCTTGACCACTGAAGCACCATGGAGTATTTGAAGAAGTGCGTCCCACATCCCTTGTTTTTATTTCCACTGGTGTTTCATATTCAAGATCAGAAGGAGACACAGGCTCCTTCTAGTTCTATTTTCGCAGCTGTTCATCCATTTCTTGTTCTCTGTAACAACTCCCCCTTGCCTCTCTGGTTCCCTTCATTGCATCTTGCAGACTGGCTCATGCATCTTGTCAGAGCACTCAGCTCTCACAACTGCCCAAGGCTTCTGAGCCTCAAGGATGTCCAATTTTCAATGACAGATTAAAGGACCAATTCAAGTGTTGTCCAGTGCTACCAGTAGTCATGACAGCAGATGCCATTTTGTCCTTGTCTGCCCTGTCTGCTTTTGTCTTTTGAAGAATTCCTGTTTAATAGCTGCCCCAGAGATGCTGAGTCTGAGAGCAACTGCCTCCGGCACTAGTGGTGTCCAGGATCCCCACGACTGCTCATCACATCACCTGTGGCTGCTTGGATAATGGCACTGGTACATTCCCATGGGACAGTTGATCGGTATAAGACAATTTGCTCCCATAGCTCCAAAGGAGATAGCTTGTTCCAAAAAAAAAATGCTAAGCCACTTACTGCAGTAGGTCTCTGCTGACAAGCAGAAATCCACTGTGTCCTTGGCTGAGATCCCAGAATTCACACGGCACTTCTGTGTGACAAATCAGCCTGAGTGCTTGTGCCCTGTGAGAGATTTTAGTCTGGATTAGGTATCACAGACTCGTGTTGAAAGAATTTGCTCCTGGAACGGACACATATCTAAGAAACATGGTGTCACACAGTAGTCCAGACTTGCCAGCAACTAACAAGTGTGGTAGATGCAGGAAGGGTGGGGACGATCAAAGCTGTCAGAAATTCCTACACTTTTTCAGTTGGGAGAGGGCTTCAACCAAAGCCTGCGTGAAGAAATCCTTACTGCTTTGACCAACAAAAAGTTTTTTACAGAACTCTCTGTTCTGCAGTGGGAAAACATGTTATCAATAGGCTGAAAGATACAAGGACTGCTCTCCCTTGCAGGAGTCAGGTCTTTAGATAAAAGTTTTATTCCTCTTAATCAGAAGGCCTTGCAAGACAACACCGTGATGGCATAGTGCATCACCTTGGCTATATCTCTGCAACTAAATCAAATGTCTGGCACCTTTGTGTGACTCTCAGGCTGAATGTCAATGTGTAGCATCTGTATCCATACTGTTGAAAAGTCTTACCCTCCAAAGGAGGGTGCTTGCTGCTAGAGTGCCTGTTGGGGTGGTCCTTGACTGTGCTGATTCCTAAACGGTGTTTGGAAATTGTTTGGGAGCATGCTGGGTTGAGACCATGCCAAGCAGAAAGTAATTTGAGGTGGTCAAAGTCAAATGCCTGGGAAGACTCCTTGGCACTGCTAAGTTCAGTAATATAGCCTCTGTGCCTCTGGATTTGGTTTCCCTGTTGTCAAACCAGTCTTATTATCCTTGTATCTCTTCAGGCTAAGTTATTCCCCAGAAGACCATTTCGGCAGAGATCAGGATGACACAGATTGTCAGTCTAGCCTGCAGTTTTTGGAGGACATTTCTTTGGATGGTCATTCCCATAAGCAGATATGGTTGCAGTGTGCTGCAAAAGGAGGTTTTGGACTGACATATACCTTGCTAATCCTCATCAAATTTGAATGTAGGCATGTGATTGGAAGGTCTGCCTGAGCTTGCTCTCCCTGCTCATCATCTGGGTCCAGTGAGATGCAGCAGTTTGAAGTCCACCGGCCCATTAGCCATCATTACACTGAAGTGATGATGACCTTTTTTTTTTTTTTTTTTTTTTTTTTTTAATCAGGTGCTGGTCTTAGGAGAAGCATTGCTACCATGACTTTTCAATGACAGCCTTCATCCTCTCTGACACATCTTTCCCAGTCACCTGGAGGGGAATGTGTGGGGACTTAAAAGGACACAGGGCTGTTGTGTGATCTGATGTTAACTGTGGTTCCCCCAGATACATCATCCACCCGGATTCAGTGGCCTGTTGTTCTCCGAAAACCATCCTCCTACTCTTGTGACGGACACCCTTTGTTTTCTAGGTTGCCTGGTTCTTTTTGCCTTTGGCTGCAACAAGCAAAAAGGCATTTATTAGTCAGGCAATGCTTGTAACTTGCTGAAGTGGGTTGCATTGTTGTCCCCAAGAGCTGTGTTGAATACATTGCCCTAATAAGCAACATTTTGAACAGCATTTTGTTTCCAAAATACAGATAACGTAATCCACCTAGTGTAGTTTTTATTTTTAAATTACTACTTTTATGCTACTCTGAGGAGGAAAATAAAGAAAAGGAGGTAGAGTCTGTGTTTCATATGCTAAGTTAAGGGGTAAGCCACAGTGATCTGTAGTAATCTAATTCTTTTCATCTGCATGTGAACTCATGAAGAAATTGGAGATTTTTCAGGAGAGCCCAGCAGGCAAATATTTCCCATTTTAGCACTCAAATAAGTGGAATTAAAAATAGGTGAAGTTGGAGGGACACTGAGCACTCTTGAAATCCTGCCCCTTGAGACTGTAAGAGGGAAACTTGCTCATTTTTAAAACCCATCTCCTGTGTCCTGTGCTGGTGAAGTAGGCGAACTAAAGCTTTGCTATAATCCAACTATGTTTTGGTACTTGTCTAGGTTTCTCTCTAAATAGGGCCCCCTATAAAGAGAGAGGTATGTTTTGACAAGGAGCGTGCAAGAATTACTGAAATGAAACTTTGCTGGTCAGTCCCTCGTTCATGCTTGGTTTTCACTGCTTTTTAAGGGATGAAGAAGAGAAAAAAAAGACTCACTCAGATGGTACAGATGAAAAGGATAATGGGAGCCAGACGAAGGCTGTCAGTCGAATTGGCAACTCAAATAACCCATTTCTGGACATCCCTCATGACCCCAATGCTGCTGTGTATAAAACTGGATTTCTGGCTCGAAAAAGCCATGCGGATATGGACGGAAAGAAAAGTGAGTATCTTTCACTCTTAATGTCTCATTTTCTTGCTATCTCTGCACAGTGCCACTTACGATGAGCCCATGTGCTTCGCAAGGCAAATAGTGCTGCTTCATTAAGGGAAATTGCAGCAATAACAAACAATGTAGCAATTGGATTATCACACTCTCACTATTAGGCCAGGATTTACAATGTTCAGTCCCATTTGTAGCAGCTCTGGTGTGTGAGCATAAGTAATGTGATACAGCAAAGCAATGTGAATCTACTGTGCTAAAAGAAAATTAATCTCATGGTTTACAGCAGAGAAAACAATTTCAAGTGAATTACAATAGCTGTTCCGTAGTAGTTTTGTAATTCTCCTTTTCCTTAAGTGACACCAGATTGTTTCAAATCTCCCCTTCCCTTTGGGTCTGTCTTTAAAGAGAGGCTGTTCTTCAGCTCTACTTGGAAGCTGCTGTAACTGTTCCTGTCCCTACTTTCCCAGCCTTGGGTCGCATATCTAGTGAAGTTCAGCAGCTTTTGGTAACAGCCAGACTTATGCCATGCAGTTCCTCCCTGCTCCTTCTTTGTAATAATCCTGCTGTGTCACTTACTTTAATTATCCTTTTTCCTTCTTGTCCTACTTCCATCTGTGGTGCACTAATTATCGAAGGCTTCTGATTCACCTCTGTGTGTTTTGTTGTTTGGACATCTTCGTTTGTTTATTTTCTATTGATGTTCTTGGAAACAGCAGAAGCTACTCAAGAGCATCTTTATTTTCCCTGATGATTGCTGATGATCACCAACTCACGGTTCATGCTATTGGGCTGAATCCTGAAGGCAAAGTCTGACTTTGTGATGGGTTTCCAGTAACTGCAGCTTTCTCCTAGCTGAGCTGAGCTCTTTGGCGTTTGCATGTTTTGCTGGTGTATTTTAGGAGGTACAGTTGGAGGTTGGTGTTTTCAAGCTGGAGGCTGTCAGCTGGACAAATCAAAACAGAGATGTTGAAATCAAACTGACCTCATTCTTTGTGATGACTGGATGCTCTGAATACATTCCTCTTTATTAAACTTTGTTTATTTAACCTTAATAAATAATTGTCTTTAGTTGCCTTTATTAAATTATTTCTTTAATTATAAGTAATCAGAATTGCTCATTATTCAGCACACTGAATATTGGCATTTTGGGGATAATCCTTCTATGAGTAATGTAATTAGGGCTATGTTTTCAGAAGTTTCTGTACATCTTAGAGGTCTGACTCATTGTCGTGCAGCTCTTGAAAAAGTTACATTCTGATTTCCCAGTTGCAAATAAAATGAAACTCTTTTTTTTAAAGTTAGTTAGACCTTTTCATATTTCATTTCCTAATGGAGTTGTTGCAGGGCAGAGATCAGTTTGTGCAGAATTGCTAATGAAGTTATGTGCTAGCATGCTATATGTATTTTCTGAGGAAAGGAGCACTGAGGGCTAAAGCACTTAGGCAATCTAGAGGAGAAGGACATAACGGGGGCCAATGTCTGGAAGCTGAACTGAACAAATGCCAATTAGAAATACAGCCCATCATGTGGGATGAGAATGATTAACCTCTGGAGCAAGGGACTAATAACCTCTTCACCATCACTTGCTGTCTTCAGATCAGAATGGGGTGCCTTTCTGAGGGTGACGCTTTAGTCGTGCATGGGTTACTAATTTCAGTATAGAGGCAAGTGGATGCTGGTCAGTGGTGCTCACTTGGTGGAAAGTGAGCTTAGATGCAGGCTTCTGATCACTGGCACTGTGACCATACAGCCTGTGCCTCCTCTCCCTCTGTTGCAGCTGAATTTCAAACTGGAGCCTTTGTGCTGAATCCCCCCTTTTTATCGTCTTTTCTCCCCGCCATCCCCCCAGCCCCGCCGCTTGTATCTAGGAATCTAGATGGGCTGGTTATGTTGTCTCTGTTACATTCTTCAACTTCTAACTGACTTTAGGTTTCTTGAGGGGTGAATTTTTTTTCCTTTCTCCGGCTTCCCCTGTGGCTACAGGAAGAGGGAAAGGGACCGAGAAGCCATCTCACTAGTCAGTGCCAATTCTGGTTGTGCAGCAGTGGCACAGGGGAAGGATGCTCTTGAGAGGCACTGCTTCCTGAGCAGCATCCCGTTGGTCCTGAGCCATGCCCACCAGCCTTCTGTGGCATGGAGAAAGGGTGTTTCCTTCTGAAAACTCTGTCACGGTGCAGAGCTCAGACCTAGCTGTGTAGGGGCAGTGTCCGCCTACCTGCAAGAACACAGAGACTGGATCTCTCTGGCCTGCTTTCTGTTCCCTTCTGATCCAGTCCAGGGCTGTCATCAGGGTTGTTTTATTACTCTCTCACACAGCAGGTATGTGCAGGCACTGTGCTGAGTTGCATTGTCCTTTGAAAAGGAGAGTACAAAGGAGGTTTAACGCAGGACTAATGTAGCTCTCCTGTTGCCTAGACGAAGTGTAAAAATGGATCTGGGTTAAATGGGTTTTCATTTGTTTTCTTTGCAGCTCCCCGGGGAAAGCGAGGCTGGAAAACCTTTTATGCTGTGCTGAAGGGAACAGTCCTCTACTTGCAGAAGGTAGGGGAAATCACTGTCTTTTGGAAACTAATTAAAGAGGGATAAAGCAGCAGGCATCCTCTCCGCTCTCACAGCCCACCTCCAGGCTCCTTTCCCTCCGACACACAGTGTAGCTGCTCTCTCTGCCCCCCACTCTGTTTACACACACATTCAGGCCTGAATCCTTTCATTGACACCCTCCCCCTTTTCACACTTTCAAGTTCAGTTCCATTGTTCCCATCCACATGTGCACCCTATCAGTTCCAGTTTAAACCACTGCTGTTACTCACAGCTTTAAAAATAGCCAGCTTCACCAGCAAAGACAGCATCATCTCTCTGTCTTGCATGCATTCTTCTAGGCTGCTTTTAACATTGCATTTCGTACATATGACTTCCCCTCCTGTAAGGCTGTCCTCCTTTCCCATCTTTTCATAGTATACTTTTCTGCACTACCTGCAAGACCAGCTGCAAAACAACTGAACGGCAACTTGGCCTTGGTAGGAATACACAGCTTCTGTTCCATAGCACAATTGAAGGATAACAGGAAACTTCTTTTTCCCCCAGAGCAAGATGAGCCAGTGGTTTCTAATAACCAGTCTTGCTGTCTTGCTCCCAGACAGCAAGAAATAAAAAAATAAAAAAACAAAATCTGAAACCCTTGAAGTATTTTGTTGCAAGCTTAAATATGTCATAGTAGTTTTAACTATTCTCTTGGAATGTGAAATGCAACACGTGAGTGAGAACTGTCAAAATCAAATAAATGGTAGCAGCTAAGTAGATTGTTGAGGCTTTTTGCCCTGAAGCATAGTGAAATATTCATTAAATAGGTGGTGTTTGTCCAGACTGCCCTGCATTGTATAAGTATGCTCCTTTGAAAGCATTTTTACATTTCCACTGTGTTTTGCAACTATCATCAGGAGCGCAAGTTCAAGTGCATACTGCTGTGTCCGCCTCCCCTGCTGTGGCTTTCTGAAGTTCTTGGTTTCATTGGAGCCAACCTGGATAGTCTCTGAGAAGAGAGAGAGTGGTTTGGATCAAATTCTTACAGCATGAGGTTTACAAGGGAAATGCTCTGGGTGCAGTACCCTTTTGAGAGGGCTGAAATCCTGAAACAGACAAAACAATTTGCAGTCAGGAGGGAAGATTTGGGCTGAAAGTTGGATGTGATGTGCTCAAAGCCAGTGCAGGAGACTAGAACCAAGTCTGCTGAATCACAGCTGAGCCTTCCCTCTGGTCCTCTTGCTCGCAGCAGGTTCAGATTTTACTAAAGCAGTCTTCATAGCAGGTTTGTACTTGTCCTTTCCTGGATGAAATGGAGTCACCTGCTTTGAAACCTGAAATAAGTCATCTTAGCATTCACCTGAAAAGACTGTGTGGTTCCCGAAGAAGTAGGAAGGCTCCTTGTCCGTAACACATTAATTAATTTCTTGTTTGATCTTTGAGGGGGGATTAATACGCTTTCAAGGGGAAGAAATGGAGATGCTGTCTATTTTAGAGTCTTAATTAAATACTTTTATGAGTATCACTGGCATACTAGTTTAAAACATGTTCTGTTTGACAAAATGTAGAGATGCTGATATGGCATGCAAATTTTCTGCAGAATGTTGTTCTCCCCACTCTCACCCTCCATCCTTTGGAGAGCAAGAGAGTAATTTCACATCTGACTGCACCTTTGCAGAACGAAAAGCAGTGCTGGAGTTCTTGTTCTTACTTGTTTGTTATTTGTGTGTCTTGCACTTGTCTCAGTGCTTGAATTCAGTGATTACAGGGTGGCTACTCTGCAAAGCTGCACTCTCCCACTTGGTCCTGAAGACACTTGCACTGAAGCTTTCTTACTGTAGCCTGGTGACAAGCAAGACTTTTACTTTAGTGCCATAAAAGGTTGACAGAGGGTCCTTACAGGAAGCGGCTCATTTGCAGAGTGATGGGGCAGCTGTGCCTCCGGCCCCTGCTTGGCCACAGTGCCTCACGCTGCAGCTGTGAAACATCCTCTGATTTCTCTTCAGCTCCAAAAGGTCCAACAGGGCTTTGCTTCAGCCCTGAAATAAACTTTGCTCTGCTAGTGATATGGTATCGCAGAAGTTGAGGGTGGAAGGGTTTTAAAATACACAGCTAGACCAAGCTGTTACAGTAAAAGTTGCTGAGCTGTTGTTTCCTTTTGCAGTATCCCAGGAGACTGAAATCATCCTAATTTCAAAAAGTTCAGCAGAATTTTAGAACAGCTTGATTTCTTTGTAGAGATGCAGAGCTCTGGCAGTAGTCATGGGCAAAGGATTTCCTTGCCTCTGTTTGCCTTCTCTCATGATTATGGAGTGCTATAGGGCAGGGTGCATTCGCATATGCACACACCCATTTTCCCTCTTTCTCTTTTTATCTGTATATTATCTGGTTATCTGTGGAGGTAACATCTGTGATGATGGTTTCATTGCACCAAGTGCTATTCAAGCAAGGGAAATGGAAAG